GGGGTGCTATCCTACATGCCAGGGAAGCCCAGGTCTCTATCTCTACCAGAATTCCCCCTCAGCTCCAGCCAGACTCTTATATTCAACTTGCACTTGGAATGGTGCACATGGCCCTAGCCCTAGACCACGCTTGCCATCTCCTGTCCAGAGCTCCTACAGGGACGTCTCACCATCTGCTCACTGCGCACAGCACATGGCCAATCTTGTCCTTGCCTCTCTCTCTTTCAGCCCCATTTTCTAACCAGCCTTCCAAACCTGTTGATTCAGTTGTTTACTTTTCTCCAAACCTTCTACCCTTTCTCTTTAATCTATGTCCTCATCACATTGCTTCTAAATTGCTGCAACAGTCTTTGAACTTGTTGCCCGGTTTGGATCTGATCCTGTATCCTCCTGTGTGCTGTAGCTAGGTGAGATTCTCTGTCTGAAACCCTTTATCTTCTCCCTGTTATCTCAGGATCAAGGGCGCAATCCTCACTCTGGCAAAGATAGTCATAATAGCCACAAGGTCCTTCTGCCCTATCCACCATCCACATCGCCTGCTAGGGGCACTGAGCCACATGTGGTTCTCAGAATAGGCCATACTCCCTCTTGTCACTGCTTCTCTGTGTCTAGAACATTCACCTTGTCAGCTGTTTCTAAGATGCCACTCAGGTGTCATTTCTTTTTGGACATCTTCTTGGACATCTCTCCCTCCAGGCTGGGTTAGGTGCCCTTCCTGAGTGCTCCCATGCAATCTGTCACTTGGTGTGGTCATTATCTTCTTGTCACCTATGCTAGCCTTAGAGTTTCTGTGTGAGGGTACAACCATATAGGTGTCTTTGTTAGCACAGCTGAGACAGGGACTGATCCACAGCAGGAACCTTTGTGCATGTGGTGGGTTGACATGCTGTGTGTGGAGAGAGATATGAAAAACGGATTTGAAATCTGGTTCCTTGCCAGGCATGGTGGGTTGCACCTGTGTTTTCAGCACTTGGGAGGGTGAGAAGAAGGATTGCTTTAACCCAGACATTTGAGAAAAGCCTGGGCAACATAGCAAGGAAGTGAGGAAAAGGAAGAAGGCATCGGGGCTCCTCAGCTGATCTGGGAGTGTTGGGTAAGCTGCACTCATTTGTTGAGTCAGCCTCTTGGGAAGATATAGAAAGCAGAATAGACAGAGATTGATGTGGGTGGGGAGCAGGGTCCCTGGAGGATGACTTTGGTTTCAAGCTTGAGTCACAGGATGGATGCTGGTGACATTTATTAAGCATGGGGAGGCCAGGCATGGTGGCACACACCTGTAATCCCAGTACTTGGGAGGCTGAGGCAGGAGGATCGCTGTGAGTTTGAAGCCAGACTGGGATACAGAGTGAGTTCAAGGCCAGCCTGCACTGCAAAGTGAGAGCCCATCGCAAAAATACCAAACCAAACCAAACCAAACACCAAAAAACCAAAACCAACCAACCAAATAAACACCCAAAAACAAACATATCAAGCATGAGGAGACTGGGGCTCAGCTTTGGCCATGTGAGGTTTGAGATGTCTGTAAAGATTCACATCACCAAGTAAGTAGTTGATATAATTCTAGAACTGGGTGGGGAGGCTCTCTGACCCCATTCTCGGAGGGAGCAGCAGCAGTGATGTCATAGGGTGCTCTGAAGACTTGATCAATGAAACAAACCCTGTGAAGTGCTCAGCAAAGGCCTGGCTTAAAGACAATGCCTGGTGGGAGACAAAATAGCTATTAATGCTGACAGTCCTTGGACACAGCAGTGAGGTGATGAAAGAAGTCCTTTAAAATATTATTCTGAAATCTCCTGCACAAAGTCTCAAATGTGCACTATGAAACACCTGACCTGTACTTCTCAAAACTGTCAAGAGTGAGGCTAGGGATGTAGCTCAGTAGTGGAGCTCTTGCCTTCTATGTATAAGGCCCTGGGTTCAATCCCCACCAAGGTAAATAACACAAAAACAAAACAAATCTCATCAAGGTAATCAAAAATACAGATTAAAAAAAATCCAAGATTTTACAGGCTAGAGGAGCCTAAGAAGACAGAATGATGTCATGTGGTATCTTGGGTGGGATTTTGGTTTTTTTTGTTTTTTCTTTTTTGCAGTGCTGGGGATGGAACCCTGGGCTTCGTGTATTCTTATATGCTAAGCAAGAGCTTTATGCTGAGCTCCAGCTTCAGCCTTTGGATGGAATTCTGGAATGGACAAAAGAAAACTAAGAAAATCTAAGTAGTCCATGGACTAGGATTAATAATAATGCTTCACTATTGGTTCATTATTTGTGACAAACGTACCACACGTATGTAACATGTTCATAATAGGGGAACAGGAGGCAGGACACGCAGCCACTCTGTACTATCTTTGCAACTCTTCTGTAAACCTACAGGTATTCTAAAACTTAAAAATTTTACTGATGGCTGGGGATTTAGCTCAGTGGTGCTGCTGCCTGTCTCTCAAGCTCATGGTCCTGAGTTCGATCTTCGGTACAAAAAAAAATTGTTTTTTTACTGAAATTATCTGGGTGTGGTGGCACATGCATAACCAGCTCTTAGGAGGCTGAGAGGTGAATGAGCGTATAGCCACATAGACCTGGACATAGGAACAGGATGGCAAGATGAATAGTTTGTGCAAGGGGCCTAAGGCAAAGTGTCCCTGAGGACAGGAGGAGGAGCCAGGGAGGAGGGGAAGAGATCAAGATGCTCTTGGAGGCTAGGTCAGGTGGGCCCTGTAAGTTACGAAGGGGGCTTTGGAGTATATTCCTTGTGAGACCAGAAGCCATTGGATAGCTTGGCTCAGCAGTTTAACAGGATCAGGTCAGCCTTTTTTTAAGAGTCTCTCTGATTATCGTGTGGAGAATAGAAGGACAGGAAGAGCAGGGTGGAAGCCCAGTGGGGATCAGGAGGCTTCTATGATATCCAGATAAGAGAGAATCAGCCATGAGAGGGGTGTAGAGCTGCAGGGTTCTGGGTTTGTCTTGAAGGGAAAGCCTGGGATTTGCTGATCTATTGAATGTTGGGTACGAGAGGCAGAGGAATCAAGGAAGATGCCAGAGATTTTGGCCTCAGCAACTGGAGAATGGAGTTTCCATTTGTAGGAGAGGTCTCCGCGAGGGAGCATACTTCACACTATAAGGCACAGGGAACTCTTTCTAGGACTAAAGGTTGGGGAGACAAGAGGCTGGAAAGGCAGAGCCCTAAGTTTTCTAGGGTTCCCAGGCTGGGAGCTGAGGGGGCTGCAGAAGGGGAGGCCCAGTGGGAGCAGCTAGTGGGCTGATTAGAGAGAGGCTTGAGGGAGTGAGTACCAGCATGTTTATCACAGGCTGCTAGGGAGAGGAGGTAAGTATCTCTTGGATTTGGCGAACCCAGTCATCAGTAACTCTGGCAATGGCTTTCTGTAGGGATTTTGAAGGAAAAAGCCTGAAGGAAATGGAGGAAGGGGGGAAGCAGATAGCCCTCTAGAAGTTTCACCTCATGGGCTGTCAGCTCTGCTGTGTCAGCGCCCACATCCTTTCCAGCTTGAGGCAGGATAGGTTCTCCTGGTGCTTCCTCTTGGCAGTATGGTAGCACCCTTATTCAGTAACTTGCAGGTGGAGAGCACATGGTTCTTTCTGGGCCACTTTTGTCTTGCTCATTGGCTTTAATCTGGCTTCTCTTCCTTGGGAAGACAGATGACACTTCCATCTTCCAGACTCATTAGTTTGTGGGGCCACACAGGTGGGTTACAAGGACATTCAACATTAGAACATCTGGCCACAGGGATTGGAGATGCCATCTGAGGCTAGTGACCGGCTGCCTTACTTGGCTCCCTTGCAGCTGTACCTTGCAGGGTGAGAACACCAGCCACTAGCCCCCCTCCCCCATCCCAGCACTTCTTTTAGGGAGCCTCTGTATTGGGAGTAGGGGACACCTGGCATGGGGCACAGGGATTACAATGGTTTTCCATCCTGAGTCAAGGACTGGCAGAAAAGTGAACTCAAAAGATGGACCCCAGACAGCTCTAAGCCCTTTTCGTGCCTTTGCCCTGGGAGGCATGTTTAGGGATGGTGGGTCTGTCGGGAGCAATGCTACATAATTTTAGGGAAAAATCATTTGGTTAGGCCTAGTTCTCCTGCCTGCAGCCCAGCTATGGCATTCCGAGACATAATTCCATTTTGGCCTCCGGTCACAACTGAGACCTCAAGGATCCAGTGATGCTGTGATTCTCCGGGACAAGATTACACCAGCGGGAGACATTCTGGGAGGAACCAAATCTTCATCTGCATAGTTCCTCATTGTTCTTGGATCCGGGCCCCCTCCCACAGTCTTTTGTTACACTTTATCCCAGTGTGAGGTACTGAACTCTCTGCATTTCATTTGTTACATTTGTTTTCTCCCAATGTACTGAATAAAAGGTGCTGCAAGCTCGGGGTCTTTTGTCTTTGCTGTCCAGAGCAGCACTGATCAGGCCCAAAGCTCAGCTTCTTCTCCAAGTCTCATTTGCCTTGTGCTGCAGTGGCTCGCAGGAGACTAGGACTTACTGCAGAGGTTCTAGTAATGTCCCCCTTCCCTGTTCCGTACATGGGTCCTAGAGAAAAATGGGATTTTTTTTTTTTTTTTTGACACAAGGTCTTGTTATGTAGCCCAGTCTGGCCTCAGACCTGTGGCAATCCTTCTGCCTCACACTCCCTAGTGCTTGGATTACAGACATGTCCCACCACACCGAGCTGAAAATTGGGATTTTGGGCCAGGGATTTAGCTCAGTGGTTCCGGCACCTGCCTCGCAAGCGCAAGGTCCCGAGTTCTATCCCCAGCCCCCTCCCCCCCCCAAAAAAAGAAAATTGGGATTTTGATGGGGGAATATCATTCCTGTTTTTGACCTCTGCCTGCCACATATAGAGCAAATTATCTTCATGCCTCTGTCTCCATCATAAAGAAAATAGATTTTACTTTTCCACCCACATTCCTAGTTGATTCTGAATGGAGATGGGGCAGACAATTCTGGTGACACAGTGAAAGGTGCAGAAGCCCAGGAAGTTGGTAAGAAATCACCAGTTTATTGAATGAAAAATTCAACACACTCATCCTCCCTCCCACCCCCCTCCACTCGCAGGACCAGGAGATGCCCTGGACAGCAGGGCCAGCTGAGGGGAAGGGCTGGAAGGTCTTGGAAGGCATGAAGAATGGGAAGAATACTTTCAAACTGAAGTTCTGTGCCACAGCTCTTGGAGAGCACTGAGAGGGTGATGGAGAAGCTCTGGAGATGCCAGCCTGTATGGAAGTGGGCCAGCTCTGCACCGTCCTCAAGTCCTCAGCCCCTTTTGAGGATACTGACGCTGACCGGGAGGGTGGAGAGGGGCTGAGATCCATCCACAGAGAGCTGTGGGCAGTTAGGGAGCAGCAGAAAAGGGGAGACAAAGAACACAGGAAGGGAGACTCATGGCTGGTGGCCTGGGGTCACAGACATGTGCTGGGGATCTGCCTCCCACCTCTCTAGGCTAGGTAGAGCTGTGCTGGATGAGAGGCTGGGAGGCAGAAAGAGGAACATCACCAGTAGGGGAGGAAGGACAGGACCTGTGCACAGGGTGAGTCACACGAACAACCAAGGGAGTGACCATGCAAAGAACCAAAGAAACACTCAGGACTCACGACATCTACAGGGACCTGGGATGGCAGGAAGTCATGCAAGGGGAAGAATGGGAAGGCCCCATCATTCCAAAAACATACTTTGTCACTTGGTTGCCCCCTTAACCTCCACTGGGAAGCTGTAGAGCAGGCAGAGACCACCCCAGGTGTGAGAAGAGGGCCTGCCTCTATCGACTATGGACAGGGTGAGTGGCATGTGGCAGCAGGGCCTTAGAAAATGAGTCTGGTGGTCAGGGTGGGGCTGGGGAGGGCTGGGGACTCCCTCTGTGGACTAAAATTCCTGGTTTCCTCTTTCTAGAAAAAGAACTGGTACCACAAGGGGAAAGAGGTGGAGAGCTAGATGAAGGAAGTCCCGGAGGACTCAATTCCAAGGATTATGGGCACCAGAAGGCAGAACCAACCTGCTCTGGGCCTGGAGCAGGAGGGAGGAGAATGAAGGAGAGGGAGGGAGGAAGGACAGTAGGACTAGGCAGTGGGGTGGGGAGGGTAGCGTCCCCAGTGGCAGTGTCCTTCAGGACTAGGCATGTGAGAGGCAGGCTCCAGTGCCAGAAAGGGGTGCTGGGCCGGGCCTGCTGGCCTCCCCCTGCCCGCAGGCAGTGAGGCTGGGTGGCAGTGCCAGGAGGGAGAGTGGCTGGGAGGCAGGGCCTCAGGTGGTCTTGCTGCCACTGAAGAGTCCCACTGGAAAGTGCTTGACATGCGTGGGCCACTGGGCTGCCAGCTGGAAGAATTTGATGTCACTCCACTCGACACCATCGATGGACACTGGGGGCAACAGGAAAAGAAGAGGTGATGGGGCTGCTGGGGCCCCGTGGGGAGCACCAAGACCCCTCCCTCATCCACCATCACTGTCACCACACCTCTCAACATGGTCTGCTGCTGCTTGGCGGAGCAGATGAGGCGGCTGATGCCCTCGATGACCTGGCTCTTAGAATCCACTTCCTTTTCCCGGGGTTTCTTGCTCAGGAAGATGGTGGGAACTACAAAGTCAGAAGGAACCACCCCTGTCTGTCACAGCCTGGGAAAGCCACCCTCACCTTCTTGAGGAGGGGAGTAATTTGTAAAAAGCCTGCCCTCCTCCCATGCTTCCTAGCTCTGGCCTGGGTCAGGATTAGCAAGTTCCTACGTGACTTGGGGAAAGATTCTGAACGTCTCCCTTGGCCTATCTATATCTGCATAGGGAGGACCTGGAGCCAGATGGTCTCTGAAGTCTCTCCCAGCTAGAATGTTCCAAGCATCTCCAGGCAGGGCCTACTTCCCTGGCCGGGGTGAGCTGAGCCAAGTCTGAGAAAGAAATGCTGGGGTGGGGAGGTTTGCACTAACCCTGCCCCATGGATGCCAGAGTGCTCCCTGCATACTCCTCCTTCAGGAAGGAGGCAAGAGTGGGGAGCATACTGCTAAGCTGATGGTTCTCCGGCAAGTCCCTGAACTGCAGTCCATGGTTTTGGCTGTGGGACTGGCACAGCCCCTGCCTGAGCCCGTAGGGCACTCTGCAAATGCTTGCTCAGGAAGCAGCACAGCTGTTTCGTGAGTACCTGCAGGAGCAGGGTACAGGATCACACAGCTGTTCAGATGCACAGCTGGGGTGGCTAGAATGGTGGCAAGTTGCCTGGACAGCAGTCTAGGTGTGAGGATTCCTGCCTCACTCTCAAGCCAAGACCCAGAACCACCCTCTACTCTTGCCTCCCATGCTTTAAGCCACCCTTCTTGTCCAGAAGGACTGTGTTCCCCTAATTCTAAAGACAGCTAAGTCCTTCTGCTCATGAAGCCTCTCTGGAGCAGTCTCCAATGCTGGGTGTGAACACTCTGCTCTAGTCATGGTGGCCTTGGGGCTGATTCCCTGATCTACAGTCCATTCCTGAGGGCAGCAGCCGGAAAGGCTCCTTCACTCGGTAACAGTGACTATCTTGGCCCTAAGGTGTTGCTTGCTCAGCAGCTGGGTCCTGAATATCCTGCATTACAAAAGCTATGGCCTTGCCCTTCAGGCAATGGCCTAGGTGGGCCCTGGGCCAATCATGTGGCACATGTACTAACACATGTGCTGCATCCAGAAGCAGATTCTGTGTCAGGCCCTGAGAGATGGCAGGGGAAGCCTGGTGGTCCTTGGTCTCCCTTGGACTCAGGTAGCACTTACCTTTCTTGTTCTTCTCTTTGGTGACCACAGTCATTGCCATGGTGCCAGAAAGCTGGGCTTCCCCACCATGCGGCAGGCGAGAAACCTGCACTGAGCGGAAGACGCTCTTGAGGGTGTTTTTGGAGCTGGCATCCCTCTTGTCGCCTTCCCTCCTCCGCTCCCCAGGGTGGCCTAGCCAGTAGTCCACCTGGAGGCCAATCACGTCCCCATATGGACTATTGGGGCTCCTAAAGAAGGGCGACAGAAACAAGAGGTCAGCTTTGCCCTTGGTATCCAACTACATGGGCCAGGTAGGGGCCAGCAGGGGACTGTCCGCCTAGGGAGCAGGTCAAGGGGAAGAAGGCAGCTGAGTGGCTCCAATTCCCTCTAGTCACACAGGGTCAGCTCAGGTGGGGGTAGAGAATCAGGCTGCTCTGAGAACAAAGCTAGGAGGGGATAAAGGCCCAAATCGTGGTAAGAGAACCAAACAAAAATGTCATACAGTGAGAGAAGCAGAGAAGGAAGCTTTTTGAAAAAGTGCACACACATACACATGTACACATGTGCACACCAACACACACCCAGTGAGCAAGGCCGGGGCCGCGAGACAGCAGGCAGGAGAAGGCAGCAGGCAGGGGCAGAAGCACCGCCCCACAGCTCCAGAGCAGCCTTGGGAGCCAAGACCTGACCTGAGCTTTCACTCATGTATGGCACTTTTAGCTGTGATAATTTTAGCTCCCAGGGGTAAAAGGGCTGATGTTTCTTGAAAGGAGGCGTCAGACACAATAGGTACAAGGGCTATGAAAGTCATCTGACTTTTCTTTCTGCCTTGTTTCAGTGGTTCCATTAAAAAAAAACAACCTTAAATTGGATGGGAAAGGAGGTCGAGGTAGGGATTGGTCCCAGGGCCTTCCAAATACATGGTGGACAGAAATCTTTCACATAGGGGACCAAAGAGAAACAGGCTCCTAGAAGCCTGGAACTGCCAGGCAGTACATGGCTGTGTTCCTACACTATCCCTTCCAGACCAATCAGGAGAAGACCATGTCGGACAACAATGTGAAGAGAAAGGAAGAGTGAAGGACACAGACTGTGACTGTAACTCCAGGGTGGGTCTTCTTCAGGGGATATGGCACTGTCATTAGTGCTCTGGAAAAGCCACTGGCCAGTGCTTCCCTTGTGCTACATGGAAAGGAAAGAGGCAAAGGCAGAAGAAAGTGACAAAAGATGCTGTCCTCTGTTCCTGACCATGGGGTGCTCTTTTCTGTCAGGAGTCCTCCCTGCCCTCCCAGGCCTAGCACAAAAGCAGCTTCCTGGCCCTCCATCTAAACTTTAGGTACCTGAGATCCTAAGAGACTGCCCCCCCAATAAGTCATAACTCCCTGCAATCTCAGGGGCAGAGGTCTGCTCCCTCTGCACCACAGGCCCAGCCTGCATGCACACTGAGTGGGCAGAAGGTGCCCACTGCAGCCCCAGAAGTCCTATAGCAAGACGAACACAGCACTGAATAGCCTAGAGGGCTCTGCTGCCCACACTGTCCCATTCGACCTGCATCTCTTCAAGGCCAATGGGCAGCAAGTGTCCTTCCACTTCCACTGTTCAGTGATTTGGCCCTTCTGGTAACCAGACTTTGCATTCTTACCCAGTGTGACTTTTTTTTTTTTGGTACCGGGGATCGATCTCGGGTCCTGAGGGTGATTTTTTAAGGCCAGTATGCTGTGCCAGGAAAGTGAGTCAGGTTGCTGGACCCTGATGGGAGGACATGGCAGGATGGACAGGTATGGACAAGAGCCTTACCCCATGACGGCAAGGGTACTGCTCATGGACGGGGAGGAGGGAGGGGTGGCTGTGGCATCTCGGCTTAGGCCAGAGCTGGAGGGTGGTGATGTAGAGGGCACGGTAAGGCTGACCACAGGTGAATCGTCCCCGTCGCCTGTCAGGGGAACAAACACAGTCAGCCAGAGGCAACCATCCCTGGTCTGTTGGTGGCAGGGAGCCAGGTTCTTTCCTGCTGGGCCCCAGGCTTCTGTTTCTCCTCCCCACACACCCAGGGTGAGGCCCACATCTTCCTGCTCATGTTGCTCCCCAGCATAGCCAAGGCCTTCAACCAGTTGGTCCAGGGAAAGACCAGAAGGCACCACCCTCACCCCAGAGAAGCAAAGGAGCCTGGCGCACCTGTAGTGGAGGGTGAGTCTTCAACCAGGCCTACCTTCACCACCTGCAGGAAGGAAGGACACATTAGGTCCTCCATCAAGGCACGTGAGCAGATCCAACTGGAAACAGAGGGCCAGCAACACAACCTTTACCACATGAAAAAAATTTTTTTTTGAGACAGGATCTCATTATGTAGTTCAGACTGGCCTTCAACTCTCTATGTAGCCCAGGCTGGCCTTGAACTCATAGTAATCTTCCTGCCTCAGCCTCCTGAGTGCTGGAATTACAGGCATGGGCCACCACACCTGGTTTACCACATGACATTTTATTGAAGGCTCTTAGAATCTTTATGTATCTGGTGAAGACAAGGGGTTAACAGATATGGGAAATAAAAAACCCTAGTTCAGGGGCTGGGGTGCAGCTCAGTGGTAGAGTGCATGGTTTGCCACATGAGGCCCTGGGCTCCATGACCAGCACCAAAAAAAGAAAAGCCCAGTCTAAAGAATGAGGTGGGCCCATAACATGTTGTGGGTCTTCTCTGGGGATAAGGGCAAAGCCCATCTTGAGGGTGGGAACCATGTCAGTGTCCTGATCTCATTTCTTCTACAATCTTGTGGGTAGTGGGGCTAGGAAGCAGAACCATCTCTGTCACTATGGGTGTGTCTTATGGCTGACCATGCTCAGTGCAGTCAAGTCTTGAATGAGCAAGCTGAAGGTGCTGACATCAGCCTTCCCCTTTCTGCCTTCCTGGAATCAGGAATAGCCATGTTGGGAACCTCAGGAATTTCAGATTCCCCATAGAGAATTCTAGAAAGGGGGTCTTCAGTAGCCAGAAAAAGATGCACCTAGAAACAGACTTGATCTAAGTTCCCTGTGGTTGGAATGGCAGGTGGGTCTTGTGCCCAGGTGCATGGGTCAGCCCTGGGCGGAGGAGCAGCTGGGCTTGGAGCTGCTAGAGCAGAGACCAGTAGGTGATCCCCTGCAGGCTGCCTAGAGCATGGCTGCCATTCAGACCAGAGGAATAAATCAGCACCCTGGGCTTCCTACATGTAGCTGCCCTCTTCCCTAGCTCCCCCAGTAGTTTTTTTTTTTGGTACCAGAGATCGAACTCAGGACCCTGCACTTGCAAGGCAGGCGGCGGAACCACTGAGCCAAACCCCCAGCCCTCCCCTAGCAGTTTGTGAGGCCACTAGCTCCTTTAGCTTTAAAAAATTTTTTTGGGCTGGGGATTTAGCTCAGTGGTACTGTGCCTGCCTTGCAAGCGCAAGGTCTTGAATTCGATCCCTGGTACCAAAAAAAAAAAAAAAAGAATAAAAAAAAAAATTTTTTTGTGGTGCTGAGGATCAAACCAGAGCTTTGGACATACTAGGAAAATGCTCTAACACTGAGCTGTGCCCCTTAAAGCATTTTAAAAAAAATTTCATTTCCTGCTTGACTATGAGGTCAGAGGGAGCAGCAACCTCCAGTTCCATGAAGGGATGAATCAAACAGCCAGTGTAGAGCTGGACACAGTGTTACATGTCTCTAATTCCAGCTACTCGAGAGGCTGAGTCCAGAAGATCTCAAGTTCAAGACCCACCTTGGCAACTTAGCAAGATCTGTCTCAAAATAAAAGGTGGCGGGGATGTGTGTGCTGGGATGTAACTCAGTGGTACAGCATTTACCTACCATGCATATGCCCCTGGGTTCAATCTCCTGTACCACAAAATGAAGCAAAAACAAAACAAAAACTACCAGCCTAGGCAGTGGCCAAAGTTCTGGGGCCTGTGGTGTGGCTGCAGAAGCAGATCCAAGACTAAGCAGGCAGTGACTGCACTGCCAGATAAGCAAGCAGGTGAGGCCAAGGAGGGCTGCTCATTTCCCCGCTAAGATCACTCAGGTCACCCATAGTCTTTGATGTTCAGCAATCAAGAATAGTGGGGAGCTAAGCTGCCCCTCCCCCTCTAAAAGCTATGAGGAATCTTCAAGGAGATTACAGAAAGAGGTACAAGCTGATGTGGAAGGGAAATCAGAATGTCATGTAAGTGGGCATGCAAGTTTTCAGTCCTTTTGGGGGGTGCTCAGTCTTCTCTGGGTGCCAGCTGTCCAGGACAATCTGTGCCTGAGGTCCAGCTGCTGCCAAGGGATGGATCACAGGTTGGTGTCCCTGACACCAAAGACATCCAAGAGATTTTTTCCTTTATTTCAAAATTTACTAATAGAGACTTTTCCTTGACTAAACAGAAGGGAAGTGTCCCTTACGCTCAGTGGCATCTAACACTGAAGGCAAATATCTGATTCTTCTCAAGCATGGTGATGTGTATCTGTAATCTCATCTATTAGGGGGACCGAAGCAGAAGGGCTGCAAGTTCAAGGCCAGGATGGGCAACTTAGTGAGACCCAGTCTCAAAAGAGCTGAGGATGTAGCTTAGTGGTTGAGTATTTGCCTAGCACGTGTGAGGCCTTGACTTTGAGCCCCAGCACTGAAAAAAAAACAAATATTTTCAAACCTCTCTCCAGAATACCATGATTCACTATTTCTGAGGCCACTTCTTCCCTAGAAGCCACTCTCTGGCATCATTCCAGAGGTCCACAAGCTCCAAGTCCAAGGCCTGGTGCAATAAACAGGACACACGAGTGACAAATCTGTGGGATAGTTAATAATTCAGGAAAGGAGGATCCTAAAAGGCACAGCCTAATATGGGTCTGGGCTTTGGGCTTCTCCACCTCAATACTACTGACCTTTGGGGCCACACTGCTTTTCAGTGTGGGGCATCGTGTATACTGCAGGGTGTCCAGCAGCATCCCTGACCTCTACCCACCAGATGCTAGGAGCATCACAGCTCAGCTGTGATAACCAGAAATGTCTCCAGACATTGTCAGATTGCCCTTAGGGGCAGGAGCTTTCTCAAAGAACCACTCTTCTAGATGAATCTTATTTTTTGTGTGTATTAGAGAAGGCAGGAAGGCAAGAAGGATGGGGACATGAAGAGGGGAGTCAGTACTCACGCCAATGAAGGGAATGAACTTCTGATAGGAGTCTTCATCAGGGCTGTTGGAAGACAGGAAAGCTTTGAGGTTATGAGGTTTGACTGAGCAGAGTAATGGGGAAATAGGCTGTCCATGTTTCACCATGGCTCAGAGGACTCCAGAGCCCTGTTACAACTTCCTGTCACATCTCAGGGTGGCAGGAGAGCGTGCTCCTTACAGCTATCACCTGGACAGGCTGCTTGGGTACCGAGGGGTGGGAGAGGAAATAACTAACTCCAACTTATATAGGCGAGGAGGCTGAGTGTCTAGGTGGAAAGGGGTAAGAGAAACATGAATCTTCGGGTTCCAATGAAGAGGAAACGGCATGTGGAGAAAAATGTGGAAAATGGAAGGACTCAAAATTTCCCTAACTCACCTGACCTGTTTGTCAGAAACCCTCCAGAGGCAGACTTACAACTTATGCCGGCAGGTCAACATGGCTTCAGCCACAGGCAGCTGGTGTGTTACAGCCGCCCCACCGACATACTGCATCACACGGCCCACCACGTCCAGTTGCTCTGCAGAAAGCCAGGAGGGGAATGCCTATTCAACTCAGCAGGGAAACCTGCAACCTCTTGGAGAGTGCTCCTCCAGAGACCGGGGCGAGACTTGTGGAGCTGAGGTGGAGAAAGACCTCTGAGAATCTCTCAGTTGTGAAATGGAGGAACCATGAACCAAAGACACTCAAGAACACTGTTTCTTACATTTCATCTCTACAGGAGAGCTGGCCCACTCTTCTGGCAGGGCAGGGCTTTTCTAGATGAACGGGAGCAGGGCTGACAGTGGGAGGAGAGTGTCCCAAAGGGAAAGGCTATACAGGATGGGTTACCACTTTATAAACACCCACTGGGAAAGTGAACAGACCCTGGATCAGGAAGGTAAGGGCCACAGGGACAAGAGGTGTGCCCCTACACTCCCGCCCTCTTTCATTTTTTTTAAATTATTTTTTTGATTTTTTCAGTACCGGGGATCAAACTCAGGTCCTTGCACTTGCGCAGCAGGCGGCGAAACCACTGAACTAAATCCCCGGCCCTCTGCCCTCTTTTAGCTGAGCTAGCTTTCTGGAACCAGGTGCCTCTTTCTGGGTAGGGATTCCCTCACCAAGACCATTACCTGACACTGGGGGCTCCGAGCGACTGAACAGGTCTCTCCAGCCAGAATCAAGGAAGGTGCTGCTGTATCTACTGTCAAGTGAGCCCAAGTATTTGGCCACAGGGTGAGAACCTGGCAGACAGAAAGCCAGAGAAAGGGGATGGGTAAGTGAATGGGATAGTGGGAGCAATTGTCCCCAGCCATGGTCCTGGCCTTTGGTCTTCCAGATGGTCTCATCCTAGGACCACCCCCCATCCTGGGGTAGGAGCTGGATCTGCCCGGAGAAGCAGGCATCTGACACACCCTCCTGAATACTACCCAACTTTATGACTTTACCAAGGGGAATGATGAGGAAGCGCATGTAGCCCAGCCAATCAGAGGTCTTGTTGGCCAAGGACTTGACAAAGAACCGGAGGATGGAACTCAGGTAACTCTGGCCTCCCACAGCTGCCACTTTGACTGGTCTTGGCATAGAGGAGTTGCAGTTGCAGCTGGGGAGAAAGAAGATCTTCATACACCATGCTTGGAGCTCACCAGGATTCTGCTCAGGGAAGTCCCAACCTCTGACTTCATAGCATCTCAGCAAGCCATAGCAGAAAAGCAAACTGATGAAGAAAGCAATACAGGGATGCAAGAAGCCACAGCACCATTCAAGAGGGCAGATGGTTGCCCATGAAGAAAACAGGAGATGAGGCTAATGGGAATGAGCCAGAAGTGCTGCCTGGGGAGGGTCTGCCTTAGACACCTAGAATCCTTTCATTGTGTCACATGGGAGAGGACTCCAGGCCTTTCTAAGAAGGCTCTGGAGAGGGAAAGCACTGATTCCCAAATGGCAACCAGCACATTATAGCTAGATGATGGAGTTCTCTCTTTTTCATCATGGGCTTAGGAAAAAGATGAGGCAAGTCAAGGTGCTGCAGTTATCTGGGCAGGCAGACAGGGCCTCAGAGCTGGTATTCTAGCAGGCCTGGTGCTTATCACTAACCATATACCCTGAACTTCAATTTCTTGATCTGACACGGGGAGGAGGCCCTGCTGCTTCTTGGAAGTCAGGATGGGAGAAGGAGGCAGAGGGTACTCCAAAAGTGCAGGAGAGGGTAAGCTGGAGCTCTTACTAGCGCTGAATCCGGGTGAGCAGAGCAGACAGCACGGCCTGGACCTCCACAGTGGAACAGGTGCATACAACAGGCTTCCGCTGGTCCTGGAGCAGTTCTGCCACATACTGGCAGGGAAGGAAAGGGGTAGAGACACAGCTGAGGCTTCATGTCTCTTCACAGGTGCTAAGATGGTAGGAAAAGCCCTGGCCAAGCTTTAGAGCCCTGTCCTCTGTGGTCCTGGCCAAAGGTGGTTACAGTTCCTGGCTATCCCTAAGGAGAGGATGGGGTAGCCCTGAGGAAGACACTCTGTGGGAGTTGGGGGGACCTTGGAGGGCATCAGATGTAGCCCACACTCCAGACATCTCTGGCACCTTGTCTCATAGAGTAGCCAGTGGTGAGGGAGTGGGGCAAGCTGCTCTGTTGCTGAATAGTTTTCACGGAAGCTAGGCACAGCCTTGGCATGTTACAGCACTCAATGCCCATGCCCCTGCCCCTTCTTTTCGAGACAGGGTCTCCCTATGTAGTTCAGGCTGGTCTTGAATTCCCTATGTAGCCCAGTCTGGCTTGGAACTCTCAGCAGTCCTCCTGCCTCAGCTTCTGGAGTGCTGGGATTATAAGTGTGTACCTTTACACGCAGCAGCATTCAGTGATTCTCTAAGCAGCTCCACTGCACATGCCACCTGGTGCACACAGTGCCTTAGGAGGCTGGTCTCAAGAAATGATGGTTGTTCTCTCTTTATAGAGGAAGCTGAGATAAATAATAGATAAACCACTAAATAACCTACGGGCTGGGCAAGGGTAGAAGCAGAATTAGAGCCCGGAGCTCTGAGTGGGTTCCAGGGAATGAGGTCTGAGAGATGGGGCCACTGTCTGACTTCTTCACCTTGTTTTGGGTAGCACACTCTGAGTATCTACTGACTCCCCACTGGGGTCTCCTCTATACTTTACCTGGCCCTGCCAGTCAGTGGTGTTCACCAGGATGACATTTTCTGGGAGGGCTGCATCAGACACCAGGATCTGATTCAGTTGGTCATATACCACCTTTCTTGGAATCTGTAAGAACAATTGTGTTAGGCACTGTCAGGGAGGGAGGGCTGGTGGCAGGTACAAGGAGAACTCCCAGCACAGGGGCATTCAGAGAGCACAGATACTAGGGATCTGTGAAGGGACAGTCTCCCACTGGCCAGACCAAATGGAGGAGGAGGAATAAGCAGAGAGTCCTTGGACACACACTGCCATGTCAGGTGTGACACCACAGTAATCCTGTGGCAGGACTGCAAGGCTGGAGACATAGTGGAGGATGACAGGAGTGGAGGAGTGAGAGCAGTGAGCAGGTGCTGGGAGAACAACAATGAGGGCAGCAGGGAGAGAAATAATGAGAGTGGCAGTAGGCACAAAGGTATTTCAGGAACAGCGATTAACCAGAAGGACAATACCTCACCCCAGGCACTGTGCTATTCTAGTCTCAGGTTCATTTGCAGCTATGTAATAATGTCAAATTCAGGAAGCCATGCTGACATAAACCCTCCACAACATGTACAGGGGAATAAACAGACTGGCTGCTTAATGCTAGGAAGACAGCCATATCTCAAGGTATGACAGCTGAGGGGACTCCTTCCCATGCCCTGATGCCACTGCTTCACATAGAGAACACACTCCTCGAGGTCCTGTTTCTTCCCACTTCTCTAACCAGCTCACTCTTAGGCTTGGAAGGGGCCCAAGAATGGGTTGGAATGATCCTTGCAGTTGATGGTGGAAGGGCCAAGGCAGCGTTTCTGTTCCAAACTCTGCTCTTTGCCAATCAACACAAAGTCCAGTTCCACACTACAGTGAAGCTAGTGAACTTCTCTAGCTTGGGTCTTTCATTGGACTTTTTTTTTTTTTTTTTTTGTACTGGGTAAACTTGGGACCTTGCACTTGGGAGGCAGGCGGTGACACCACTGAGCTAAATCCCCGGCCCTTCATTGGACTTTTTATGTACAGCATTTCAGGTATTCCTCCTTTCCTCTCCACTTAGCTGTCCAAGGAGGATGACAAGAGAGATTTAAGTCCAGGCGATCTCAGAGGGCCCTGGTCTTGCCAGGGGACCTGCACATACCTGTGTACTGTGGCCCAGGTCAGGTGAGCGCTCACTGTCGGAGCTGTTGGTCCTCTCACTCAGGGGCTTGGAGAGCTGCCGCTCCTTCAGGGGTGTGCTCCTCTTCTGCCGGGGTGTGTGAGTCCCTTCCACTTTGCTGAACAGGCAGGGAGAGAAGGGGTTAAACAGGTCCTCCAACCCCAAGGCCATGTGAACCTGGAGCAGGTCCTAAGTAGGGTTGAAGGTCTGTACTATCTCTTCCCACCAATCTGGTGTACCTGGGGGAGGCAGAGCCCTGCAGATCTGTTTTGCTGGTCTTCATGGGAGTTTTGACTTTTTCAGGCACAACCAGACTTGTACTCAAATCTCCAAACGTATCCTGGTCAGTGATTTCCTGCCATGGAGAAAGGGAAGCAGAGGTTACTTCCCACTCAGTGACCACTGGGAGCCTTCACAGAGCCCTGCCAGGGCCCATCACCACCACGTGGAAGGCTGTCTGCTCTCTTTCCGGAAGTGCTCCCACTGTGCTGGGCACCTAATGCTCCTATTCAGCCCCCACCGCCCCCATTTACAAATGATCTGTTGGCATACAAAGGGGTGACTGGTGATGGGCTTTCTGTTAGGTAGTGGGGGGATCCTATGCACATCTCCCTAGCTCTTTGATGGGGAAGCAGTATCTCATCAGGATGGAGCAGGGCATGGCAGGGCCTGTGGCCTAAGGACCTTGTGAGGTTTATAGCTGCATTTCTCACCTTGGCCAGACCCATCCTGCCTTTGCTTTGGAATTACCACTTCCTTTCTATTCAGATGCCAACTCCTATCATCCACCTTTCCATCCACTCTTGTTTGTGCATCCCTTCTCCATCATCCTCTGAGTTCAGGCCTTTGCCTTTCCTAGATCACTTTCAACAATCTTCATGAGCCTCACCTCCCCCTCCTCACATTGTTCTGCCTGTTCATTCTAGTCTGTCTTCCTAAAGCACAAGGTCATCATATCAGGAAACTATTCAAATAGCACAGAGAGCTCCACATTGCTTCAGTGGGGCTTTGAGGCCTTTCCTAACCTGGTTCTAGTCCGTCTTTCTAAGTTAATCACCCATAGGTTCCCTGGGACCAACATTTCCTTAAGACTTTCCCTTGAAAGACTCTGCTCCCAACATGTGCCATGTATCTGCTCATCTTCCTGCACCTGCCCATCTTTTATATTTTAAAAATATTTACTAGAATAACTTCCATGAAGTAAAGTGCTCAAATCTAAAATATTAACTTGATTTTTGAGACAGGGTCTCACTATATACTCAGGCTAGCCTCTAACTTGCTGATCCCTCTACCTTGTGCTGGGGATGGAACCCAGAGGCTTGTACATGCTAGGTAACCACTAAACAATACCTTTCCGAACTTGAATTTTTATGTAAGTACAGTGTCAGTGATCACAAACAAGACCAAGATGAACATTCTAGCACACCTGAAGGGTCCCACATTCCTTTTCCTGCTGCTATAGGTAACAAGTATCTTGACCTCTGCCATTATAGATTAGTCTTACCAATTTGTGAATTTCATAAATGGGATCCTATGTCATATACTTTTTGGTGCCTGGCTTTCTTTCCTCAAAACTAAAATTTGGTCAGTCATTGGGGAGTTTTAATCAGGAAGTGACATAATTGGAATTTTATTTGAAAAGATCACTGTACAGTAAATCCTCAACTTATGAATAAGTTCCATTCTGGGAGAATTGTTTTTAAGTCAGATTCATTTGTAAGCCAGACTCTTTTGTAAGCTGACAAAGTGAGTCTTACAGAGTATAGCTGTGAAAGTTTGCAACTCGAATGTTTGTAAGTTGGGGACTTACTGGTAAGTGACACATGTAGTATAGACTGCAACGAAGCAAGAGTGGGAACTGGGTTATTCAGACTACTGATGAGCTATAAAGTATAGGTTGGTACAGTACATTTTAAATTAATCTTGAATCAAGCCTGTTTTTAACATACACAGGATGTGCAACATGGTATTATTTACTATAGGAAACATAAGCCTGAAATAACTTTTTTTTTTTTTTTTGGTACTGGGGATCGAACTCGGGCCCTTGTGCCTGGATAGCAGGGGGTGAAACCACTGAGCTTAATCCCCGGCCCTGAAATAACTTTTTCTTGGATTCCATTCAACCACCAGAAGGTCTTGCCATGAGGCTCATACACAACACATGTCCAGATGGCATTCTATAAAGTACCCTGCTCCTTCCCATCCAGTGCCCAGCCTCCTGTCCCACAGGATGACCTGCACGGTATCCTAAAAGGTCAGCTCAGGCAACCTCTCTGTGTCTGTACCCCCTTGTACTTCCCTGGGCACCAGATGTGCACAGATGGCTGCCTCTGGAGAGGGAGCCAAGGGGGCAGTGATCACTGCTCAGCCACCTTTGCATCCTCTGTGTTCTCCATTAGCAGGTACACAGTATACATGTGTGTGATTCTCTGTTCCATTCAATTGGGCATCCCAGCCAAATTTAACTCCACTTCACCAGGGGTTTGGCAGGAAGGAGATGACCAGTACCACACAAAGGTTCAGTGTTGTGGGCTGCCTGGCCACTGACAGAGCAACATCCCAGTGGGAGGAGATGGCTTCTCAGGGAAAACACTGGTCACCAGCTTTCAGAAGTAAATGATGCCAGTGGGAAATTATCTAAGCTAGCATTCAATCAGCTCTAATAAAAGTAAAATGGGAACATTTCTCGGTTGTTGATTTGGGGAATAACCTGGTCTATAGGGTAGGTTCTATTCCATGGATAAGAATTCAGGAGAAGGAGAACACAGGATATGTATAAGCCCACAGATTTAGGTCAATTTTCCAACATAGGCCTGAGGGTGCTTCTGCCATTGAGAGTTTATCTGAAGTGGATGCAATGGAAAACTGAACCATACATACCAGAGTTTCTGTTTCAGTCAAACTGTCATCTTGGTTTTTAATCCAAGTAGATTTGACTTTTTCTAGTGCAGCCAATTCCATCTGCAAAAATTATAATAGTTATCTCCGATGCAAATAGTCATCACTCTAACTTCTTTTACTAGGTCCCTAAGAATCTTAAAATACTTTTACTTAATTTCATAAAATCTTTAGTTTTCATCTTACTAAGGGGTATATTTTTGTGAGAACAGAGGAGTCACTTAAAAAAATCATTAAGTCAGTGTCACAGAGAGATGTGGAACCCAGAAATTTTGACTCCCACTAGATGTCAGTAAGGAAGAAAGGCGTAAAGTTAGATGGCTTTACTGTGGGACACATATAAGTCTTTGACCCCAGATTCAGTGAACATTCTTGCCTGAAACGGACATATGGGTGCCTCCTTTGGTTGTCCAAATTCAGGTCTTTGATTTTGAGACTGAAGACATCCATGGTAACCAAATGCTTTTTGCCTGGTAGGAGCATCCAGAAAACCCTATAATATAATATACTAAGCAAAAACATGCCCAGTGTGAAGCCACTTAGGTGTGTATTAATTCTCCAATTGTTGGGCTGGGGATGTAGCTCAGCAGTGCAGTGCCTGCCTGGCAAGTGTGAGGCCCTGAGTTCAATCCCCAGCACACACACACACACACAAATCTCCAATTGTCCCCCAAATTTATTAGCATTTCTTATAAATATTAAAAGTTTATTTTGGGCTAGGGGTGTAACTCAGTGGTAGAGTCTTGCCTAACATGTTAAAGGCCTTGGGTTCAATCCCAAGTACTATAAAAAAGTTTATTTTACAGATACATAACCACATATTTCACATTTGCTAATACCTCTTTCTAGGTGTGGAGATACCAAAGTCAGTCATGAGGTGTGTGGGCTGTGGGTCTTGGATGTCAGAAAGGAATTGGCCTCAGTGAATATCTTATTTCATGGAAAGAAGGGGAGGCAGAAAATATAAAGGCTATCCCAATTTCTCTAAATTACTTAAAGTTTTTTCTCTGAGTAAATTATGTAAAACTGGGAGCATCAGGTTAGTAAGTTCTGGGGGAGGTGGTCAGGGGTAATGTAATGAATAAGGACCACAAAGGCAGCTCAGTGGAGAATACAGGAGTCCTGTATCCAGCTCTAAACCTGGATTCTCTACCTTGGCCCAATTACAGTGGGGCTGGGTCATTCATTCTCTGCAGGGGCAGCTGTCCTGTGCACTGTGGGATGTTTAGTAGCCTCTACTCATTAGATGCCAGTAGCCATCCTTTTTATTGATGACAACCCCAAAAGCCTCCAATTATTGGCAAATGTTCCCTGGGAGATAAAAACCATCCCCAGGGAAGAACTACTGTCCAAAGCCATCTCCAAGATGAATCCAACACACTTGGGCCAGACTTGGTGCCCCAGGACTTGTGTGGTAGCTCACAGCCATGTAGAACAGGTTGCCTCAGGATTGCACTGCTGGTTCATTCACACATTGTCCACATGACTGATCAACATTAATAACTGAGTCTAGAATCCCAGAAAATCCCTGCTCAAACCCAGGAGTGATGATCCCACATGAACTGGGGTGATAAAGGAGTCCCACTGGGTGGTTATAAAGAATATGCCTTGTTGTCAAGCCCTGTGATATCCACAGTATTTTTTCCACAGCCAAGTGGCAACATTTGATAAGACCTGCCCTTCTACCAGCCTTATTTTTTTTTGGTACTGGGAATTGAACTCAGGACCTTGTGCTTGCCAGGCAGGTGTGGTGCCACAAGCTATATCCTCGGCCTTATCCACCAGCCTTATTAAGGTGTAAATGACAAATAAAAATTATAACAAACTCACAGCTTCTCCTAGCTTCTGTTCCTATAAATTTGAAGGGGTTTTCTCATCCAGGATTCTGGAGATCTGACCCCCGCACCCCTGCTATATCTGCCTGTGTGGCACTCAGGACTCAGGTGCCTCCTGAAGTGCCAGTAGTCTGTAGCATGTGCCCAGTGTGCACACTCACTTGTATGTGTGAGTATGAGAGAGAGAGAGAGAGGGAGAAAAGGAGGGAGGGAGCAACAGGGAGAGAGAGGAAAAAAAAAGAAGAGGAAGAGGGAAAGAAAAAGAGAGGAGAGGGAGAGGGAGAGGGAGAGAAAAAATAAAGAGAAATATTAGTCTTTAACATCTTTATTGACAGTGCTATGGAAATATCAACTTCTAGCAGCAGGTGACCTTGGCTGAAAGTCTACATTGCAGGCAGCCTCCTGAAGCAATGTTGGGGACTACTGTTATCAGTTAGGAGAACCAAATTATGTTGTTATGCTTACTGCTCAAGTGTTGAGAAAATTCAACAAGTACAATAATTTGTATCAGTAGAAATTCCTTCTTATTCTAGTGATAAAATGAAAAGGAAGATTAAGAAAAATACATAGGGCCGGGGATGTAGCTCAGGGTGTGTGCTTGCCTGGCAATACATAAACGGAGCTGGAGATGTAGCTTAGTGGTATAGCACTTGCTTAGTATGCACAGGCCTAGGGTTTGATAACCCTGCACTGGGGGGAAAAAAAGAAAGAAAAAAAGTAATGATGTTCAGCAATAGGGACAAGAGGCCATCAAAGTGAGGCAGTAGCCCCTAAATACACATGATTGCATGTTTTCCCTGATCCACCAGTGTTCTCTATGTAAGAGCACAATCTTATTCTGCTGTTCCCAAAGTGCCTTTCTACCAAAAGATTCCACAGTTCCACACCCACGTCGAGACATATGGGGCCCTTCAAAATAGAAATCTCAGCAGACAAGCAAAAAGTGTCTCTAAGGTCTGGCTAAGAGAAACAGAATTTGAAGTACTCACGTAAAAGACATCTAGAGTCTATCAATTTTAGCAGTCCAAAGCTGAAATGGCTCCAAGGAATTATTACTAAAGCAACACCAGTTTACACTTACTGCAGGTCCCAGGCATCAGAACAATCAATGAGCACAGCATATGCCCCCGCTACAGCCTGACCAGCACTGACCTCACTGCATCTCCACATGGCCTTGTAAGGCATGTACTTTTTACAGGTACTTTGCAGATGAGGAAATAAAGGCTTAGGAACCTGCCCAAGATCAGTCAGTGGAAAGAGGGAGTCAAGATTCAAATTCAGAAGTTCCACCCTACACAGATGTAGTTTTTGGCTGAATAAGTGCCTTAGGCCATCATATTGTACAGACTGATCCTCTACTAACTTTTTGTTTTGTTTGTTTTTGCTATATAACCCAAACCAACCTTGAACTTGCTAGGTAGCCCAGGCTGGCCTTGAACTCACAATCATCCTGCCTCAGCTTCCTGAGTGCTGGGATTACAGGCATGTGCCACCACGCCCAGTCTCCACTGACAGTTTTTTTTTGGAGACAGGGTCTCTATGTACCTCAGGCTGACCTTGAACTTGCCATGTAGCCTAAGCTGGCCTTGCACTTGCAATCCTCCTGCTTCACCCTCTTGAGTGGTGAGATTGATTATAGGTGTCTGCAATCATGCCCATCACTGACTGACTTTTGTGCTAACTGGGCTCCTATGCTGACACCTTCACCTTACAAATAAAGCACCTGTGACTCTGAATATAATCCCAGTAGGAGGCTGAGGCAAAAGGATCACAAATTTGAGCCCAGCCTAAGCAACTCAGCAATTTTAAAAGACTGTCTCAAAATAAAAAATAAAATAGGGCTGGGGATGTAGCTCAGTTCAAAGGCTCTGGGTTCAATTCCCGATACCAAAAAAAATAGGCAAGGTGATTTTTTTTCTCTTAATGTTGTAAACTATATAACTGAGGCCAAAGCAGAACCTACCGCCAAATTCTACCAGCCTAGAACCATTTTTGTTAGCACGAAATAGTTCAGTCATTTACAGTATGTTAAGTTGTTATGCTTAGTGCTTGTTGGGCATTGCCTAAACTTCTATCCCACTTACACTTCCTCATGGTAGCATACTTGTTTAGCATTCCTAGAACCCTGTGTAGCAGTCTTCCCTTAGCTAGGTGCTGGCCTTTCTAGAAGAGTTATTATCCCCTAAAATTAAACTTAGCTGGGCATGGTGACACACACCTGTAATCCCAGCAGTTGGGAGGCTGAGGCAGGAGGACTGCTGTGAGTTCAAGGCCAGCCTGGACTACATAGTGAGTTTAAGGCCAGCCTGAACTACATAGCAAGACTCTGTTTCACTAGCAATCCCCCCACCCCGCCCCCCAAAAAGAGAAAAAAAGATGAATCTTAAGGTGAATCTGGCTCTCGAAGCCAGTGGCCTGTCCACAGGGGCAGTGACATTCAACAGGGCCATTTGGCAGGCCCCTGTGAAGAAAGGCAGCTCCCACCTACATCCTAAGCCCCAGTAGCACACTGAGGCCTCCGCACCTCCAGAGGCCCATGAACCAGGCTGAGAAGGTGCAGGGAATGTTAATCTGCAGGTGGTAGGTCTGAGGGTTCTCTTTGTGTGTGGGGATTCTCCATGTGGTCTATGGTTCTCCTTCCTACACTTCCTCGCTAATACCCCTGAAGCCCTTTGCAGACCAGACCCAGCCAGCAGTGCTTTAACTAAGGATAAGCTAGCAGACATCCCCACCTGGTGGCAGCAAGCAGAACAGCAGCCACAGATGTCCCAGGAAACGGTGGTGGTGGTTTGCAAGCACAGGACAGGCACCAGCATGGCACTGACCACTGCTGTAGAGCAGATGGAAATGCCTTGCAGCCTCAATCATCTCCTCTCAGTTAAAACCTACTAGCAGGGTTAGCTGTGTATTTCCTCTGGTGAACAAATGACCGTACTCCTCATCAGTTACCAAAGCAGCAAGAAGTAGAGGTCTTAAAGGATTTGGTTTCTCTCATGTAAGAAGACACAGCTCTCCACAGCAACCCCTACACTCTCTTCTGAAATAGTGCATAACATCTATCTGGCCTTAGTTGTGAATTAAGGGAAGAACAGATTCTCCACGCCTAGTGGACTTGGGATCATCCTGAGCTCCTGGGAGCCACAGCAGACAGTTTTTTCTTCTTGTTCACAAACCAAATGGGAAACTGAATTCTACTATCCACTAAATTCTACTATCTCCTAGGGCCCATTCTCTCTGAGTTCTCCCTAGCAGAGCTGATTTACTTTCTCTGGACAGACCTTGTGGGGGCCTCTAGCCCTTTATACCTGTTTCTTTCCCAGCAGGGTCATTTGGCAGACAGAATCACTTCCCCTGGATGAAAACCAGACTCAGCTTCATGACATGAAGTGAGAGGTTCTGAGGTGGGAAGGAAGCTCCGCGCCATGGTGAGAACAGACAAAAAAGAACACCTAGCCAGCAAAGCAGTGCCCTTGGAGCACTAAACTCTCAGCCAGGATAAGAGGAGGAAAACTGAGGCTACTCTTCTGAGATCCCAAAAAGAGCCATGCTCAGAGAAGCAGAGGGCCCAGAATATGAAGTCAACATGCCAGGTCCCTGCCCCCACCCAGTATAGCCACTGGTCTGCTCACAGGGCTGGTGGTGTCCTTTCCAAGGCTGCCCTTGCTGTTGAGGCTGCCAATCTCCGTCTGTGAGCTGGATTGTGACATCCCCTCAAAGAAGGGCCTGCAGTGAAGAAGTACAGCTTGGGTCAGTGGCCGCTGTGGCTCATAACAGCTGCTCTCATGAGCTGAGAGCAGCTGTTGCTCAAGGCAGATCAATAGCCTGGGCTTCTAGCACCCGGTGAGGAAGGATGCTGTGGGGTGGGGAAGCAGGCCTGGGCAGACAGACTTGTGGCAGGTCCTATCGGGATTTTGTCAGTTAGGAGCAAAATTAGTGATCACTGCCCAGGGAGCTGGAGGCTCAGAAAGCATGAAGGACCATAGTACCCCAGAATGGGGGGAGTGAAAGAGGGGACAGGGACACAATAACCTAGGGAGGAAAGGTATCTGAGGGCAGCCTGCAGAGGAGCTCTGGGCCTCACTTGAGCTTAGGCTTTGGGGTGCTCAGGATGCTCTCTGTCTCCTCCATTTCAGGGCCGCTGTCACTGGGGTTGTACATCTCCAGACTGTCGTACAGTTCATCCAGGTCTTCTTCCACCTCTCGAATCTGTTCCCGGGACACATGCTCTAAGCCGAAACCAACCTATGGATAGAAAAATGATCTTTAAAGGGCTGGGGATTTAGCTCAGTGGCACCGTGCCTGCCTCGCAAGCCAACGTCCTGAGTTCAATCCCTGGTACCAAAAAAAAAAAAGAAAAAGAAAAATGATCTTTAAATTTGGGGTTCTACCTATTAACAATGATGGTAGTTGAGGAAGTCCTTTCTCCTGTGCTACATGTCAACTGGCCTCCCTAATGCTGCCTTTAATGGGTCATGGCTCAGCATTGCATTTGATGGACAGACTGATATCGTTTCTGTGATCTAATCCTGAGACCAGGGACCTGGGAGGCCACCTTCCCCTCTCAGTTCCTCCTAACATCTACTCCAGGACCCTGTACAGGGAGGAAAAGCTGGGGTTCTATGTGCTCCTCCCAAGAATAGGCACAAGAGCACTCAGAAGCCAGGCTTGTGTGGTGTTCTCCCTTCCTCTGTAGCCCACAAAAGTGCAAGGACCCTCTCTCCCAACATTCTTCATCTCTATTCCTCTTTCAGTCCTTGAGAAGCCTGTGAAAACTGGTACTGAGACCTCCAAAGTGCAGGAAGAGATGGCTTTTCCACCAATGCCAATTGCATTGGCTGACCACTAAGGATATCTACTCTAGCTCTGTTTATTGAGGGTTCTGAAGGGATGTGAGGGAAAATTAAACAATGACAGCCAGATCTGTCATTGACATCCCATAGCACAGGCTCGAGCATCAACCAATAGTTGGGTGTAACTGGCTACCTGACTCTAAATACTGTGAAACTTCAAGCACTTCATGTGGAGTCCCTCCTCTTTCTTCAAGTAGAGCTCTTCCTTAGTTGCCCTCTCCTTGGGGCTCTGCTAGGCATGCCAGGGGGGCAGGGAACATGACCCCAGAATCCTGACTTCCAGAGGCTGCACAGGAACAAGGCATGAAACTTTGAAGCTTGTACTTACCATTAACCTTGGAACTAAGGGGTCATACCTCATCAGAAACTTTGAACCGCTTCAGGAGGGCCACAAACTTCTGTTTGATGTTAGGTTGCTGTGGGGACAAATTGCACACTAGTTCTCAAATACCAACTTATGGTCAATTCAGTAGATACTGCCATGAGAGGACACAAAGTAGGGGATACAGTTCCTAGCCTCACACTGATAACCTCTTTAGGAAGACAGGCCTGTGCATGGTGAATTCCAGTGCAAGTTCCCAGAGACTGGGTGCAGCTGGGAGGAGGAGGTCTCACCTGTCCCTAGGTCCTTACCCATACCCTGATATCTTCCAGATGTGCATCTCCTTGTTCCTGTTCTTCAGATCTGGGAGCCAAATGTTGATTGCCGTGTACATACACAAACATTTCAGAACTGCATTTGCATTCTTCTCGCCTCATTGTGATCCCAGTTAGCAATACTCCATCTGTCACTCCTCCAAACCTGGAGCTTCCCCTCCTTGGCCTCCAGCCCATGCTGGTTAATTTCCGCCCTCTTGTCTCTTCTCCCTTAGCATCATCACTGTCCCTTATGTCTTGATGCTATGCCTTCTTTCTTCTCACATCTTTCTGGAACCATGGCAATGTCCCTCCCCCCACTGGCCAGTGTTCAGTCTTGTTTCCTCCAGAGTCCCCTGTGGTCCTTCCAGAGGCAAATCTGATTACATTACCCCAACTTGTCTGTCTCAGCTGTCCCTCTCCTGGATGTCAGACCTATAAGTCTGAGGGCCTGTCCTGCCTGCCTTCAATAAAAATTTCTCCCAAATCCACTTGGTGAAGTTTTTTTTTTTTTGAGACAGAGTCTCGCTTTGTGTTTCAGGATGACCTTGATCTCACTATGTAGCCCAGGCTGGCCTTGAACTCACAGCCATCCTCCTGTCTCAGCCTCCTGAGTGCTGGGATTATAGGCCTGTGTCACAATGCCCGAACCCTGGCTTACTTTTAAAACTTATTCTCTCAGCATCTCATCCAAGATGCTGTTGGAGGTAGCCTCTTTCCCTTTAGTGTCATCACTGTCCCTTATGTGAAGCTCACTTTACAGCACCCTTCCTTACTGTGTTGTAGCTGCCTGCTGAGACCAGTCTGTGTCATTAGACATTTGAGTTCCTGGATGGCACAAACCAGCAGTCTCCTGCTCTGGGACTAAAACTTAACTTGTGGTCATAAGTAGTTCTGCTTGAATGCCAGATTCACATCTCGGGAGAGAAACAACTGACTTGCAAGTAAGACTGACAGGCCTTCAAGAGAGGGTGGGAAGGGCACGTGCAACAAAAAAAAAAACAAACTTCAATTTATAGTGAAAGAGAAGCATAAGACAGCACAGCAAGTAGATGAGTGTTTAGAACACCAAGCTCTTGATACGGAGAGAAGAATGCATATAGACAGAAGGAGAAAGTAAAGGACAATCATGATATGTTAAGAAACAAACTGGAAGGGCCTAGTAGCTTGCAGAACTACCTCTGGAGGAGTGGATATTGATGGGGACACTGATGTCTGTACACTGGGTGACACTATGGAGGAACCACAGGAAGGGGTGACTTAGCTCAGCAGCACCCTTTGGGGAGAAAACAGGGGCTGCTGTGACTACAGAGGAGAAAGAGAAAAGCTCAGTTGAAGAAGCCTAGGCCATTCTCCCTTCTCAGAGTGCCACGGAAGGAGAGGTTGGTCTCAGGAGAAGTGCCATCCAGAAGGCTCAGCTACCTGGCACAAATGAGCAGAACTCATACTCTCTAGTAACTGATGTGAAGGGTAATCCAAGTCATGGTCTGGAAGGTTTACACAGAAGCTCCATGATCTGAGGCTGACCTCAGAGGTAACAATGCTGTTCTATGGTAGGATGCCGGGCTTGAATATATATTTGGAAGGGCTGGCCTATGTTTCAGCCCAAAAAGGACAGGAACTTTGCTCTCAGGTGTCAGCCTCCAGGCTGGCTCAAGAGAAATGGAAACTGGAAATGTTTCTCCTAAAAGTTCCTGGCACTTCTGACCCTTCCTGCCCTCCATACAGGGGCTCCAGGGTCAGTAAGAAGACACCAAGGGGTTCAGGTTTTAGCTTCTTAGTCTAGGGCTCTTTTCACCAACCATAGGGACTCTTGAGGAAGAGTAATCCAAAGGCCTCTCGGTTCCAGGGTTATGAATTCATTATGGCAGGAGCTAAATCTAATGCTATTAAATCTTATCAAACCCAGAGTTTATACAAATCCCAAGTATTAGCCTATTATTTCTGGGAAAGTTCAACAAATGAGTAAAAACAGCAATACTAGCAAGAGCTGGCTTTCTTTCCATAATGGATGGCACTTCATTTGAAGCAATCATCTGGAAAGCGGGGAGGGTCAGGGTGTCTGAGGTGTTCTGTTCCTGGAGAAAGTATTTTATTTGTTCCAAATTCTGGAACAAGGGTCCTCAGTCTTTCTTCTAATGTGTATAACCCAAAGCTATAATACCCTCTCTGCCGTAGGAGCTGTAATACCATCTCTGCCTATCATTCTGATTCTTTTTAATTTTTTGCAGTGCTAGGGATCAAACCCAGGGCCTCATGCATGGCAGGCAAACTTTCTAGCATTGAGTACATCCCCAGTCCCACTAGGCCTAAATGGACCACTCCTCTCCTACCCTAGACTGAGAGTCTCAGCTGTGTCACACCATAGACCTGTGCAGCTCACCCTTGTGATGGCTGAGGTTGAGGTGAGTTTCCTCCGGGTCTTCTTTACTTTCCGTAAATCCTCATCTTCATAGAACAGGTCCTAAGTGGGAAGGGAATAGAATGAGGCTGGGAACCAGGCGTGGTGGTGCACCTCTGTAATCCCAGCACTTGGCAGAGGCAGGAGGATCGCTGCAAGTTTGAGGCCAGCCTGGGCTACACAATGAGTTCAAGGTCAGCCTGAACCACATAGTGAGACCTTGTCTCAAAAAACCAACCCTCCCCCCCAAAAAACCCAAAACAAACAAAAAAGAATGAGGCTTAGAAATCTCAGGAGCAGGCCAGGGATGTAGCTCAGTGGCGGTGCACCTGCCTCAAAAGGGCAAGGTCCTGAGTTCGATCCCCGGTACCAAAAAAAAAAAAAAGATAAGAAAAGAAATCTCAGGAGCTTTTAGATACTCCACAGGAGAGCTGTGGGAAGTACCTGCCCGTGCAATGGATCGTCGCTGCCTTCTTGCTCTGATGAAAAGCTCTCCTCCTCTTCCTCAGAATAGTTGTCAATATCAGGAGAGCGATCTGAAATAGATACCCTAGTAAGATGGCCTTGCCCTGGGGAGATCTGGCCTAAGAGGCTTTGATGAATGGGAATCAATACAACTGGACTGGAGGGGAGGGCCATAGCTATACTTCATTTTCAGGGACCTCCAAGATTCTCTTGCTGGGAACATTTCAGGTATGTCTTGTTCAGCTCTCCCAAGGTAGAGATCAGGGCACGGGCTCCCTCATCTTCTACAGGGTCTCCAAACACTGTACACATCTTTTTTTTGGTACCCGGGATTGAACTTGGGACCTTCCGCTTGCAAGGCAGGTGCAGTGCCACTGAGCTAAATCCCTGGCCCCACTGTACAAATCTTACCGGACAGCTTAGACTTGATTCCTTCATGGTCAATGGGCTGGCTGGACAGGGAGTAGATCTTTATTTCTGCCACAGGCACAGACACATCCTTCACATTGCTGTGCAGGCCAAGCACCAGAGCACCCTCATTAGGGTGCTGCATCACCTGTCAGCAAAGAATGTAGTGGAAACACCTTGCCTCAGCCAGCAGTAGGGCTGTCATTTCCATAAGTCCAAGAAACATGCAAGCCAATGGCAATGGCATTCTGCTAATACATTTTCCTTCTGAGTTCCAAACCAGTTCAATAAGGAAAAAGAGCTTTAGAACATGGGGAAATGGTCTTTTAGTCCCTCACTGGGGGGCCACAAAGGTTTTCATATTTAACAAAGTACACACAGATATATAACTATAAAACTCTTTGTGTGTGTGTGTGTGTGTGTGTGTGTGTGTGTGTGTGTGTGTGTGTATTTCTGGGGATTGAAACCAGGAAGCCACTGAGCTACATCCCCGGCCCTTTTGTTTACATTCTGAGCTAGGGTCTCATTAAGATGCCCAGGCTGGGCTCAAACATGTAATACTTCCGTCTTGGCCTCAGTAGCTGGGATTTTAGCTGTGCACCATGCCTGGCTAGAAATGACTTTTAAAATTGACTTGCGGCCCCTTTCTTCTTCACCTTTGTCAGGGTTGAGAGGATGTGCCTAGTACAAAGGAGAATTGCACAAGTAAGCAACACACTGAGAAGAATGGGAGCCTGCTTACTTTTTATTTTATTTTATTTTATTTTTCGGTACCAGGGATCGAACTCGGGTCCTTGCGCTTGTGAGGCAGGTGGCGCAACCACTGAGCTAAATTCCCAGGCCTATGGGAGCCTGGTTACTGTTGAAGAAGAGAATGAGAAATAGGGAAAGGGGAAACACTAGAATAAGCCCTATGGTGTTGGGCTGGAATGGAAGTTATCAGTGTGTGCTCATGGCCAGCTACAGATATTTATATGGAAATAGATATGATCTGTGTATATAAAAGAAAGTGCATTTATATACATATCTTTCCTAGATTTCTCTGCTGAGACAGACAAGCAATGAACCCTGAATTGGGAAAACAAGTACTCCTAGAATCCAATTCTTGGTTTTTAAATACTATTCTCTAGTAAAAACAAAAATGGCTGGGGATGTAGCTCAGTGGCACTGCACCTGCCAAGTGCAAGTCCTGAGTTTCATTCCTAGTACTGGAAACAAAAAACAAAAAGCCACCAAAAAGCCAAAACCAAAACCAAAACATGGACTCTTTAGAGAATCAGTTCATTCCAGGGATGGGTTATGGAAAGTATAGGATGAGTCTGGAATATTTGGTACTAGAAAGTAAGAAAGGATGTACAAAATAAAGGGCCATATCATGAAGGACATGGAAGACAGCTTACAGTGGTTCTCACTGGCCAATCTGAGACAACTGGAGTATCAAAATAAAAAATGACAGTACAAAAAAAATGATAGTACATTAAGCCCCATGAAATAAAAGAGGAATCCACAGGGCCATAACTGATACAAACAAGTGAATCAATGGGGGAAGAAAAGAATGCTCTACCTTGTAATAGAAAGTCAACTGATAAATATAGGAAGAGTGGTAAGATTAGAAATTCATGGTTTGGCTGTGTGTAGTAGTGCACACTTGTAACCTCAGCTACTTGGGAGGCTGAGGCAGAAGGATCACAAATTTGACAACTTAGTATGATACTGGTCCAAAATTAAAAAAGAAAGAAAGAAAGAAAGAAAAAAAAGAAAAGGAAGCTGGGGATATTAAGCCCTGGGTACAATCTCCAGTACTATTGAAAAAGAAAAAAAAGTCATGGTTTGGCAAGCATCAAAGTAATAAAATCAGGCATGATAGATGCTATGACTAACTAGTTGGTAAAAAAGATAGTTATATAGTCTCAAAATATCTCCACACAAAATATTTTTCATAAATAAGTACAAAATACCTATTAAGTTTATGGTAGGAAATTCTGGCAGACATTGTCTTTTTTTTTTTTTTTGGTACTGGGGATCAAACTTGGGTCCATGCACTTGCGCAGCAGGCGGCGAAACCACTGAGCTAAATCCCTGGCTCTTGGCAGACACTGTCTTAATCTTAACCAAATGATGGAAGTTACAACTGCCAGTAAAGACACAAATTGACATCACATGCACCTAGGCTACACTGGGAAGAACAGTACTACTTTGGTGGTAATTCTGCCAAAAATATACAAACTGAACCTAATCTTGAGACAACAGCAGATAAACCCATACTAAGGAACGCTGAATAAAATAAATAGCCTGTACTCTTTAAAAACATCAAGGTCTTGAAAGACAAGGAAAACCTGGGCACTGCTGCAGACTAAAGAAGACTAGAGACGTGACAATAAATTTGACCTGAATACCGAGATTAGATCCTGGGCCTCACGTGGTCACTGAGCACCTGTAATCCCAGGATGGGAGGCTAAGGCAGAAGGATCACAAGTTTGAGGCCAGCCTGGGGAACTTAGAGAGGCCCTGTTTCAAAATTTAAAAAGGGCTGAGATGTAGCTCAGTGGTACAGCACTCCTGGGTTCAATTCCCAGTATTCGCCCACCCTGCCCCACCAAAAAAAGTAAAATTAAACACCTGCCAGCTGGCTGGGGAAATCATTGGCTGGGTGGGAACAGCAGGCCCAGTGCCTTTCTTGGCTTTCCAACTTACAGGCCAGCAGTTTGAGACTGAGTTTCGCTCACCTCTGCCATGTTGATAAGTCCCACAGCCAGGGTCTTATAGCCCAAGATGGTCCGGTTCTTGTATCGCTTTCTCCTTTGCAACATGATCTGCAGCTTGTTGGCATCTCGCTTAAGGAAATGAGGGTACTAAGGAGCACAAGCAGATTCCAACAATTACTAAGCAACTTGGGGCTTGGGGGTTTGGGTCCTCTTAGAGGACACACAGCCCTTCTGTGTTTCAGTTTCTTTTGTTTGTTAACAGGGGTGGTGAGGGTGAGAAAGAAGCACCAGAGGGCTAATTCTGCTCAGGCTTCTCTGACAGCTTTGGGGTCCACAAACTGTCTCTTTCTTTGCTATTTGGTCAGGTGTTTTTTCTGTGCATCTTGATGTGGGCTACTGGGATGACAACAAAAGACTTGCTAGGAGGTATGAGGAGAGAAGAAAGATGAAGGTTACCATATGGGGCAAGAGGAGACTGGAGGTGGTGGGGCTTGCTGGGGTAGGTTCTGCAGATCACTAAGGAGTGGGCAAGGGCTGAGCATGGTATGGTGGGGGCACAATAGGTGGCTACAGTAGCATCTAAGGTAAGAGAAAGGAAGACTGAGCCACGGCATGCGTCTCAGCAGTCTACCTGGTCCCAGCACCCTACTGTGACTGGCTAAGGCACTGTACTGGCCTTTTAGACTAGAGACAAATATCTAGGCTATAGTTGGGTCTGGCTGCTTTTGAAGAAAACAGTGTCCAGGTTTGAGGACTGTTTGGGGACGGGACTGGGAGTGGGATGTTAAGAGTCTTAAGACTTAGAAGATTCTCACCTGAAGGGAAAAAGTTAACTGGAGCTCTGTTTCTACCAGGCCACTAGCTGGAAGGATGATCTCATTGGAACGAAGAATTCTTTTTGACCCCTAAAATGAAGAAAAACATTTGTCAAAGCTGTGCCATGAAAAATTGGACCAAAAGATCCATGGACTGTGTTTGCAAACAACTTCTAAACCCTACAAACATTCTTATGGGCCCAAATATTTGTCTTGGTTATACTTACTTGAATCAAGCTACTGCCACAGGTAAGATTTTACACACATTATGCTGTAGGGTTATGAAGGGTTTTCACAGGAAAATGATTTCTCACATTAGAGTTCTCCCAATTATCCTGGGGAAGCACAGGTATTGTCAGCACCTAAGGATGTGTACCACCCTGTTCACCTTGGGCTACCTTTCTTCCCCTCTAATAGATTCCGGCTGCATGGCCTTGTCCAAGTCCATGTGGATATGCTTTGCCATATCCTGAGTAAACACCTAGGAGTGGAATTGTTAGGTCTTAGGATAGATGAATAGTTAACTTTATGAGAAACTGCCAGGCCATTTTCCAAATTGTTGGTGCTGATTTTCATCTCTAGAAGCTCCAGTCATTCTACACCCACATCCACATTCAGTGTGGTGAGTTCTGACTCACTCATGGAATCTTACAGGTATGTGCAGAATATCATTGGATCTGCAATGTTTCCCTGACAACTAATTATATATATATAATATGTATGTATATATGTATATATATTACATATATATATGTAAACAAATTTTTGTGGTATTGGGGATTGAACCCAGAGCATCCTGCATGCAAGGTAAGTGGCTCTATCAGAGATATAGCCCCTGCCCCTGATAGTTAATTAGCGCCCTTTCATAAGTGTGCTGGGCATCCTTAAATCTCTATATTGGGTTGTTTGTCTTATTCATTCATTCATTCAATCATTCATTCATTTTATTTTTTTGAGACAGGGTCTTGCTATGCAGTTCATGCTGGCCTTGAACTCACTATTTATAGCTCAGGCTGGCATGGAACTTGCAGCAATCCTCCTGCTTCAGCCTTCAGAGTGCTAGGAGTACAGGCATGTGCTATCATGCCTGGCTATCTTGTTCTTGAGTTGTAAGAAATTTTTATCTTTATGTGCTTTTTGTCACATATGTGTATTGTAAATATTTTCTTGCCTACTCATTTCCTTAATGGTATCTTTTGATGAAATATTTAATTTCCATCAAGCCATTTCATTATTTGTATCTTTTCTTTTATGATTAACACTTTCTGGGTCCTAGCTGAAAAAATTTTTTGTCTATTCCAACACTGTGAAGTTTTTCTGTGGTATTCCAGTAGATACTCTGCTAAATTATAAGTTTCATAATTTTATTTTTTACATTGAGCTTTCTTTTCTGTTTCTAACTTTTGTTTACATATAATGCTGATTTTCGTTTAATTCAGGAAGAAAAATCTCCTAAATATAACATTTTACAATACTTTTATAATTAGAATAACATTATACTGATTAAATATAATAAAAGTGATTCTGCTTCATCTCTTAGATAATGTCATTTGGAATAACTTCTATTACAAACAAGAATATTTATTTATTATTACATGTTTGCAGTACATAATCAAACAAGAATTTTTTTTTGAGACAGGGTCTTGGTGTATAGTTTAGGCTGTCCTTGAGCTCTCTATGTTGCCCAAGGCAGCCTCGAACTCATGGTGATCCTCCTGCCTCAGTCTGCCAAGTGGTGGGATTACAGGTATGCACCACCATGCTCGGCTCAAACAAGCATCTTAACAAAGTTTTCACTGGAGTTTGTTTAGGGTCTTTTGAATCAAGAAATCTCTGGGAAATGGCTCTCAGAAATACCAAGAGAATCTAAAGTGTAGGTTATAGAGACTGTTTTTCAGGTGTGATTTTGCTCCATAGGAGGCACTGAACAATCTCTGAAGAAGCTTTTAGTTGTCACAGCTAAGGAGTATGTGTTCCTGGTATGTACAGAATAGGGGCCAAAGAGTTGCTAAAGGTCTTATAGCACACAGGACAGCCTACACTTGGTCCCAACTGTCAACAATGCCACAGTTGAAAAGCTCTGCTCCCCTGAGACAGGGTCTCCCCTGGAGATGCTGCTTCGTGGGCAGTCCTCCTTGCCCTCTCATGGGACCTGCTTTTTCCCCAGGACTCACTCAAGTACCATAGGGCTTGAAGGTGGGATAGGTACCCACGCTCCTTATTCATCACCAGCTCTAGAACATCTTCCTTCTAATTCCTTAAAAACCTCACTATGAATTGATATCTTTGGCTCAGATCACCCTGTATTCACTATGGGTGCCATCATCTGTATGTGGCAACCATTCCCGTTCACGTCTTCATTTTAGCTCTTGACTCACCTGTTCCTGTCTCCAGCACTGTTCTAGTCATAATTCTTCATGATTTCAATATATGCTTGCCCCTTTCTCCTTCCTTCCCTCCCTCTTGTCTCTTCTTCCTTTTTTCTCTCTCCCATCTTTCTTCTTTGCAGTACCAGAAATTAAACCCAGGGCCTCACACATGCTGTGCAACCATTCTACTACAGCCACATCCCCAGCCTAATATATGCTTTTTCTTACATACCAGCCACTACATCCCATTCCCTGATTCCTCTGATCTTATCCTCACCCCTACCTCACCAGTCATCCACGTAACTAGATCCAGACCATAGCACTGCCAATGGATGTAAAAGCAACCAATCTCAATTCTTGCTTCCCACTCTCTGGTCACCACCTACTATCTAAAAAGGCCCTGTACATACAAATGCCTGGGCAGGGTATGTGCATGGAGCCTGTGGAGATCAAGGCCATTCAGGATAGCCTGTGGCCTTCTGATAAGAACGATGGTGACCAACCCAACAGTAAAGGTTAATGGAAAAGTACATCAGCCATTCCCCCGCCAAATGGTGAGGTAACTAAAAACTAATAAAAGATCTTTTGAAATAAAGGTCTGGGTCTCTCTCTGAGGTAAAGCACGCAGTGCAGCTAAAGTGGTTTCATCTCTGGAACTGCAATTTGGGTCCCCCCCAATGTCTTTCAGGTAAATACTTAAGTTTTGAACCTATATAATATAGTTACAACAACATGTTACAATTCTAACATCTGTGTCAATTCTAGGTTGGTTTACTGATTATCCTCATTATGGGATCACATTTTCCTTATTTGGGTATGCCTGGTCAGTTTTTATTAGATTCTAAACTATAAACTTCTCTTTGTTGTATGTTGTTTTTTTGGCGGGGGGCAGTACCAGGGAGCTAACTCAGGACCTTGTGCCTGCCAGGCAGGCACAGTGCCACTGAGCTACAGCTGCAGCCCTGGATGCTGTATTTTTGTTTGTTTGTTTTTGTATTCTTACAAATATACTTGAACATGGGGAAAAAATAAGAACCAAGATACATCATGTAAAGGTACAAGATCCCAATGATGAATGTAGCTGTACTGTAGACCTAAAATGTACCAATAAAGTTAATGAAAAAAAATATACACTTGGGCCTGGGATTTAGCTCAGTGGTTCTGCCGCCTGCCTCGCAAGTGCAAGGATCCGAGTTTGATCCCCGGTACCAGGGGGGGAAAAAAAAAATATATATATATATTTGGACTTTGTTCTGGGTTACAGTTAGATTTCTTGGAAACAGCTTGATCCCTTTAGGCATTACTAGAACCCAGCTTAGTCTAGGACCAATTATCCCCTGGACAATCTTTTTGTGTACTGTATCTAGTATCCCATGTATCATGCAGTTTTCCCATCTGACTGGAAAAACAGGCATTATTCCCAGCCCTGAGTGAGCTCTGGGTACTGTTGCCTCCACTATTTTGAGATCATTCTTTCCCAGCTTTAGGTGGTTTCCTCACACATGGGTACTGATGAATACTCAGGATACTCTCCTCCAGTACTGTTTTTTTTTTTTTTTTTTTTTTTGGTACCGGGGATTGAACTTGGGACCTTGTGCTTATGAGGCAGGCGGCAGAACCACTGAGCTAAATCCCTGGCCCTCCTCCAGTACTGTTTTTGCAAATTGCAGCACATATTGGTTTCTCCAAACTCTAAATTCTGTCATCTAAAAGCCAAGTCTTTTGGACTGCCTGCTCAGCTGTACCTCAGTCTGAAAACTGGGTCACAGTAAGGTCCACCTTATTTGTTTCCCACCTCTTAGGTCACTGTTATGTTTAATATCTTGAAAACTACTGTTTTATGCATTTTTGCCTGTTTTTTGGTTGTTTAAGGTAGGAGCTTTTAATATAGTATTTGAGACCATATATTCCTTAATAGGCTAAGATTAGATAACAATATATGAAGTACTTAAAAAGTTAAGACTTTTCTGCTCAATGGGAACCTGTTCTTAGTCATTTGGTTGAGTCTCTCCAGATTTTCTCCTTATAAATAGAACACAGAGAAGAGAGAATGCAGATAAGATCAACCTGTTTGCCTCTGCTAGTTATGGTCATTATGGAGAATGTTGCTATGAGCTTTGTTTATGAAGGATGCGCTGGGCTTTGCTCCCAGCAGATATTACTGCTATGTGTGGAAATATATTTCCCTTCTGATCACTGCTAATCATTAGCACTGTAAACATGGGCACAGACTGAAGATAAGGTATCTGAAAAATTTCTGACCCATCCATTGTGCGTAATGATTGTTTGTGATGGTCCTTGCAATACTTCCTGTCCCAGTAGTCTGCATCATTCATCACTGCAACCTCATAGATGATAGTTCTGGTTTCTACAAAATATTGGAGATGTATCCATAATATTTTATCAATTTGAATCAAGGACTTGTTACAGATTTTTTTTACCATTGTATTTTTTGATTTTTTGCAATTTAAGGGTACAAGGAAGGGTATTCAAAATTTATTGAGACTTCCAGGAAGATGGCAGAGTGGTAAGCAGTAACAAATTGACTTCTCCAAGAATTGGAATCCAGACACTTGGGAAAGTAAAGAAGGAGGGTGGTGGATCCCCAGGACCCAGGAAGGATCTGAAGGGAAAATTGGAGCCTACCGAGAAAGTGAAGAGATGGACCTCAATGAAGAAAAAGGAAGGAGTAATATGCAATTCCTCCCTCCCCAGTAGAAA